AAGTGATGTAGCATCAGCAACTGAAGGAGCCTTATCTTGCAAGAAACAGAATCTTCTTGCTGCAGTCAATAGTAGTAAAAGGGTGCTTAGCACCTTTCAGGAGATGCTGAGCATCTCTCCCAGGCCTAAGTCCAGAGATAGCATTCCCAAAGGACAGATACAAGGATATTAAAAAAGACTTTGATCAAAGAAATATTGCTTCTTTCCTCCTTTCACTAAGCAGATGTGCAACGTGTCTTGGGAAAGAAATAGAAAAATTCCTGAGTGATTTATTTGATGAACCTAGTTTTAACCCAGGTTATTGCATGCCTGATACGGTGATGTTGGTTATTAGTTTCCAGTTGAAAATGACCAGATAGAGGACATGTTCACTTCATCAATATAATACATTTATTGGTTGTCAAGAGAGTCACATCACATAGATATGTAAATCTGTCACTTTGTCTTAAAAGTGTATTTCTCTATTACAATGTTGCTTGATGTATGTTTTAAGGCAGTAAGACCTTTTAAATATTAAAAAAAAACAAGACAAGGGGCAGGTTTGTCTATTCTATCTCAGGATTTAAGACATTAAAAGCAGATGCATCACTTATAAAAGTAGGATTTTATCAAATACCATTGTAAATGAAAGACTCATATCTACCATGTGTAGATATGTGAATTAAAGAAACCTTCTTTCCCAAGAAAATTAACAAACTCTTTTGCTAGCATTAAGGTGGATTAAACCGTGAAGCTGGTTATTCGTTGACCACAAATCTCTGTGTCAAAAACAAAAGAGAATAGACTTTTTGCTTGCATTATATGAAAAAGGAATGTTTTTAATTCTGTTTATATGGGCCACTGAAGTAATCCCAACTTTGAAAAGAATACATTCAACATTTAAACTAGAGGAACTCAAGGAAGTTAGGTGCAATTTAGTGGTCCTTTACCATTAAAAATGGCAGGAACTATCAATAGCAATAAATATTAAAAATAGCAAGAAATTCACTAATCCATATTTCTCTCTTCAAAATGTGCAAACCCAGCTTTTCTGAAATATGATGTCATTCTATATTTCAAAACAACAAGTAACACCTAACAATGTGATATATTATGGTACAAGGGTCCAATGCTGCGACGGTGGCATGTGCTGGCTAACAACTCTCCCTGCGCCGTGTAGAGTAAGACTAGGTTGTTCAAGCACCATGAAATACTGAACCAGAGCCTTATTATCTTCTATTGACCATATTTTTTTTTGTGATGGGGCAGAGCAATATGGCATATGACTCATTTGAGATGACATGAAACCTGTCAGTGGTTACAGTGAGATTGGTATCAGGCTCTTAGGAAGTAGCTTAAGAAAATGGTTTTACCATAAGCTAGAAATTATGCTAAAGGAGAACAAATATTACTTATTTTGATCATGCAGTAGTGAGTTATTGTGTGTGCTTGTTAGCGCAAAGGAACTGCAGGACCGAGTATGAGACCTCCATCTACCAACTAGAAGAAATCTATCCTTGAAGGGATACTGCACTCTGGGGCTAATTCAGTAGATCCTCTGTTATGTAAAACTGCTACTAAACTTAAAACACTTCTATGTTTGCAGTGCCCCTGGAATTGGTGCTATGTTATATTATATTAAAGCACATGGTGATTTACTAGCTGGGTGTCCTGAAAAGGATGTTGCTAGGAAAGAGGAGAACATGATAATTACTTCATATGCAACCAATTTAAAAAGGCGAGAGGTGAGCATGATAGGGGGAGTTACAGAGCATGTCAGAAAGGAAATAAAAAGGATACTACAGAACTACATAACTAAGATGTGGATTTTTAACTTCTTACTTGAAGGGCTATAAATGCACAAAACTGCAAGGGAGGGGAGCTTTCAATCTAGTCTAAGGTGTTCTAACCTAGAATTTTAATGGCATTCATGACAGGGGTTTGAAGCAGTTGAGAAGTGTGGGTGTGGGTTCAGATCTTTGGTTCCAGTTCACCTCCAATGAATACTCAGCAAAGTCTAACATAACCAGTCTTTAATTCATCAATTTACATTATGGAGTCTCCACTATATATATAACTCCAGTTATAAATCACCACTTTGCGAATTATAATTCATCATCACTGATAAAAGGGTGCGAAGACTAAAAAGACACCAAGATTGATCACAGTTTCACTGGTGCGCAGCGGGCACAGCTGGATGCTTGGGCTTCGTGTGTTTCCTTTGAGCAGAATGGCCACTTCAGGAAAGAGAAGATGTAATCATTACAATGATTTGCCAATTTGGTTATGCTAAGGGAAGCTGCTGTACGACAAATGATAACTTGTGACTGGTGCTTCTTAAACACTCCTAAGAAAACCTCCTACTTTATTGTGTAAGGAAGTGCCTAATGCATCATCATGGGGTTTCCAGGAGAATTCCCTGGTGTGAATTTGGGATGATAACATTACTTAGATTCATTGAGGTCAATGGTGAACCTTACCATAATGATGCTGAGACTGCCATGAGGCAGAGCAGCTCTGCGTGGTGCATGGGCTGCATCATTGCAGAGAATATTATTGACTTCCTTTTAGGATTCAAAGAAACCCCACATTGTTGAGAATGCTTTTGTGCCTGTTTTCCTGTTCTCCTGGCTTCAGTTGCAAGGACAGAAGTTTCTGGGCTCAGAACCTATTAAAATGGTCCAAATGAGTTATTCAGGACCTTAAAAACATAGGTGGGAGAATGGAAATGTTTTCCTATCATTTTAAAATGATTGTTAACAACAGTTTCTGCACTGGAATAAAATTAAATACTGATAGTCCACTTTCTCACACATTTGAACTCCTACTTTCCAGCCAAAACTACCTAAGGCTCTAGACGTTTTAGGTGCAGCATGTACTCATGTGAACAGGTTTTAGGTGCAGCATGTACTCATGTGAACAGGTTTTTCCTGGATCTCTCCACCTGCTACAGATTTCCAGGGATTGTACAGCTAACTACAGGATCCTGGAGTTAACAGCACTCACATAACCTCTCGCCATTCCCAGAATGAAGACTACACCCTGGGAATTAATTTGGTTTTTGTGGTAATCCCACTGGTGGCCCAAGACTCTGCAGCTCCTTGCTGGGCTGCCTTGAAGGAGATGGAGATGGGGCTCTGCTGGGGTAAGGGAGTTTGCAGGTACTCAGTAACCAGCAAAGAGACATGGCCCATAATAACAGGTACTGACCTTGCCTGCAAGCATCCTATCCCTGAGTGCACCTGCCTCTTCCTTCCTACCCCATCATTGCTAGTATATTATCTCCTGCCTTGGTCCTCTGTCTTTTCCCTCCTCCTTCTGCTCCCCAAGCGCCCTGGTCCTCCCCTGGCTCTATCCATATGTACACACGTCTGCCTTCATGCACCGAGCATAGTAGTAGTAGTAGCTTTTATTACTCTCAGTTCTTTATTAATGCCACATGTGCTGTTGTAAGGTTAAGTTATTAAGTGATATCCAATAATTGTCTCTGCTCTAAAGTGGACGTTTCATTTAACTATACTCATGTGGATCTGTTTCAGTACCATTTATCATGACCACATTTTAAGCAACATTTCAATAGGCTATTTCTCTCTTTCCTTTAACTAGATTACAGTTACTTTCCTGTAACTAGACCTAAAAGGTCCCGGTCAAAAATTAAATACAATAACCTTCAGAACAGCACAAGGGAATGTGGGGTTTGCATGTGCTTTGGAAGATAAAATACGTCTTTTACCAGGCTATCTTCTCAGCTGTGAAGTTAATTTTACTGTATTTGTGCACTTGCTGGAAATGCTTACATGAAGGCACACAATGACCTGTTTAGTTTGCAGGAGAAAATGATGTCATTTGCAAGTAAGCTTTCAGCTGTGATATTTTATAATTGTTTAGATGAAAACCTGATAATCCTCTACTCCTTCACATAAACTGCAATCCATCTTTAAAACTGTGATAATTCATAAAACCTGCAGCTTAATAAACTAACAAACCCCAGGCCTATGTTATTTTAAGGGAAGTCAATCTTTGATCAGTCAAGCTGAAATGGGTCTGATAAGTGGAGGCCTTACTCACGGGGAGCAGCACTCCAGTTTGTTATTGCTATTTGCTCATCATCCTCAAGTGCAAAATAAGCAGAAGTCTTTCCGAGCTTCTTATCTCTTTTCACTTTCTTCTCTAGATCTCTGTCGCTTTAATCCAGCATGTCTGCTGCTGGTTAACAAGGAAATCCTGTGTCAATTATCGCCAACAACTTCCTGCTGTGAAGCTGTGGGGAATCAAAGCTTTTGAGAGCCTTTTTCACACCAGAGAGTAGTGCAGGGCCTAATTAAATGGCCCTCATATCCTGCAGCCTACTGGTGGCCAAATGATAGAGAGCTAATGAATGATAACCTAATTTTTTTCCAGGAATTGTTTTGATTCTTCCGGTCAGTTGTGCTTATTGAGTCGTGGCTCATTGTTTGTGCTTAGGGCTGAGGAGGGCGTCAAAAGGCAAAACTTGGGGCAAGATACCGATCTGCTCGGTTTATTGTGCACAGACCTTCGATTATATAAATGTATATATTGCATATCGGGAAGGGTATTAGCTAAAAATTGCTTTGCTGAAATGTGTTGCCCTCTTTCCTCGATATGAATTGCTTTGGTGACTCTTACACACATGTGGGCTGCAAAATCGTCCTATAAATCCCCCTCATAAATGCTATCGCCACAGTATTATTTTGACAGAATCGCAGAATGAGGTATCTGCCATCGCGCGCGCACAGCTGCCCCGCTTCCCCTTTCTCTTGCTTCTTCTCTTCTAAATTTGTTCTATGAAAAACTTGATCTCCTGCCCCAACCAAACTGCAGCGCTTGTATGGCTGCCGCTGGAGGTTACTTAACCTTATGCTAAAATTGCGCATAAAAGGAACACAAATCTATGCATCTCTGCTGCTTTGAAGTTTGGACAAGCACCCTGAATCGCCTCTGCTGCCTTTGCCTGCTTAGTGATGGTGTTCTGTGAGCACTTGGTCATTGCAGTCCTGTGCTGAGCACTGCCTGCATTAGTGCCCGAGTAAGGTTACCAGCAACAAAACAACCTTAGGAATAAATAAAATACCCAAGCAAGATACTTGCATTTACCCCAACTGTTCATTTCTGAGGTCCTATCGTAGTGCATGTGCATGAGGTGACAGACTTAGAGGTACCATGGGAGCCCTAACTCTGAATTTCCTGACTTTTATGGTTTTACATTACAACTTTAATGTTCCATTAGCATGGTTTTTTTGTAGTTAATTTCCTTGGGGAGCTTGGGAGAGTTCAGGTTGTTGGGTTATTTTATCTTATATTTAAATAAAAGCGGGAGAAAGATGGGTCAGCTCTGCCCAGCTGCTTTGGAATGTTGAAAAGGATTTAACAGGAATCCTTTCTTTTCTAGAGAGGAGCAAATCAAAAATGCCAGCCAGAAGTTATGCACACCTGCTTTCAAACAGTGAAAAGCTCAGGGGCTGTCCTGCCTCATTCCAGCCTCATTCCATACCCACAGCTCTGGCTGACATAAGATCCTGTGTTAAGGTATGTTTTTGAAGTGATTTGGTTTAGGGGGTTTTGTTTGCTCTTTGGTTGGCTTGGGGTTATATTCATATGCTTTTGGCAACAAAGCTTGCAAGTTTGGAAAGCCTTACCTTAACTAAGCTTTCTTCCCTTCACAGTCAAATTTATTTACAGCACGAAGTCTGTAAAGTGCTTGATGCTTCTTTCGCATCCAGACAGCACTTACATATAAGGGCTTGAAGTCTAAGATAGAGACAGGGGAAGCGAAGCACCATGACAATTTGGCAGGCGGTTTGATGTGCTGTAGGTTGCATGGCAGAAAGTTGTTGTTCATCTCAGCAAAGGAAAATGCTCAGTGAGAAATTGAGAAGTGCAGGAGCAAGGCATAAATAACTGTTTCACTGCGGTCATCTTAAATGAACCAAGAACCCACTGCTCTTCAAAGCTCAGCCTTTCAGGATGGAAGGAAGAACTTGGCTGCTGCAGTGCAAAGATGGTCAACCAGTGCCAAGCAGGAGGGAAAGAAGGTAGCAGGGGAGACAAGGCGTTTCTAAGGTGGGTGACACACTTCTGCAGTTAGTATTTGTTAGTATTGGCAGGTCAAATACTTGGACTTTGACTGTGCTTTCTTGGGTCAGGTGAATATAAGCATACCATGCATTTAAAAAGAGTCTTCTCCTTTGGACCATGAATATTAGAAGTCAGGCCTTTGATATTTTATTGTTACTTTTAGTAATAAATTAGGGAATATTTTTTATTTAATTATCTATTTATTTGGTTTTTTTATTTCTGTGCTTGGGTCTTTTAATTCCAAAATTCTAGATGTGCTGGTTGCAGGGAAAGTTAAACTTCAGTGAAACTGGGAAGGCTCCCATAACCACATGACTCGGGGGGCTGCAGATTCAAGAAGAACACCTGTGAAACACTGTGATTAAGGTTACCAAGAGCCAAGCAGCAGTTTCCTCCCTTAGATAATGAGTGATAAAGGTGCTCTGAAAATATGGATGAGGCTATCTTTCCTTTCCTTCCTTTCCCTGCTAGCCCTCTGATCCCCCAGCCCGGGCTGCTGTTCCCAAACAAGACAGCGTTGGCTGTGGATTGTATTTTCCCTGATATAAATGATTCACTTGCAGCCATGCTCTGCCTCCAGCAGCCAGTAGAACTCCTGCCATCAGTTATAAAATGCTCGAGGGTTTAAGCAGCAGAAGAAGCAAGTTTTAAGGCCCCAAGACGGAAGAGCATCTTAGCAGATGTGCACTAAGTATCCAAGTGTCCCTTTCCTGGTGCTCACTTTTATGTTTAAGATTACAAATGGGGTTATGAATCTTGCTGAGGTGAGGAGTTAAGCCAATATCTCACTGCTCAGGTACCAACTCTGTTCTTCTTAACAACTGCTGACACAATGAGCATTTGCTACCTTATGGAGTGCAAATTTTATTTGCTAGTTTTGGAGCCAGTTAAATAGCTTGATAGTTAGTTAAGGGTATTGCCCAAATCGGTACACTGACTTGTGGCATCTTGCTCTATTGGTGATGCAATTAATTCGCATGCATACTCTTCTATTTTTTGTAAGGATATATATTTTTCCCCTTCAATTAGGATTAAAACCCCCATAACCCATTAATTACAGTTTGTGTCAGCTCTAAAACCCCTGTTTTTGTGCATTTTTACACCCCCAGAAAACAAAGTCTTAAATGTACATTTCCCTTAGCTATTAATAGCGCTAGTGGATATTTGCTAACAGATGACATAGAGTGATGAGGCTAAAAGGAAATAGATTTGAAACAGCCATTCTGTGCTTCCTCTGGAAGCGCCAAGAACATTTCAGGGTTTACAAATCATGGCCCGTATTTTACTTCCAGCTCCAACAGTATAAATTTAATACTCTGCATAAACCAGGATTTGATCCATACTTTCTAAACTTCCAAATATATTACTTAATAACAGAATAAATACGCACCCTTTCAAATCCATGGGGAGCTTTACCTGACAATGTAATGGGCTAAACAGCTTCAAGGATTTGATAATAATTCACTACAAGAATATTTCAGCTCGTTGTATTTGTTTTTTCTTCCCAGGCCCAGCCTATTTCTTTTATTAAAAATGATAAAGACTTGATCGTGCTTTCATTTTAAGCATCACTGCACCAGGTCTGATATAAAGTTATTAATTTTTTTCATCCTGGTCTGCTTCTCAGATGGAAACAGAGAGTATTTGCTTCTATTCACACCATACACCAAACTATGAATATTATTTCAGTTATGATTTCCTATGTGTCTGTACTAAGGAAAGAGTGGAAATAAAGGACAAAACCAATAAAGATTCAAAACCAAAAGCATATGTATGGGAGAGTAAAACACAAAACAAAACAGGGGCTGTTAAACAGATGACTCCACTGAAATGTGAAATATTCCACAAGTTTTGGCAACTTTGAAATGCTGCACTTTCTACGTTTCTTCTATTAATCATTTGAAGGGACTTTTTTGGGGAGCCAAAAGACAAAGTATTCCCTAACTGCATTACTGATTGTGTGCATGTAACTCCAGCCATAACGGCGTCGACAAATGTGATGAAAAAACCAAGGAAGTGGCAATGAATTGAAAATTTATCAATAATCATCAGAACAAAAATCTGACAGACTCTTAGGCAAATGGCAATAAAACGGACTATAAAAATCAGGAAACAGACCGGCTGAGTGTCTAGAAAACGTTAGGAATGAAGAAAAGGGACGATTTTGATGAAATGTTTTCAGACAAAAATTAATTCCTCCACCGCTGAAATGAGTCAAATAATGAAAAACTGGAAAAAAAAAAAAGAAAAAGTCCACAATGGGCAAATCCCTGTAGATCCCAAGCAGACAAAGCTTCTAGCACCAAATAAAACACTGTTCCAGCTTAGGCTCCACATTATCAGCTTCCTTTGGGAAGGTTCAACAATTGACAGAACCAGTTATTCCAATTAAAAAAAAATAATAAGAAAAAGAATCTGCATATTAAATAACACAGTTGTGGAGTAAACATAAAAGTCAGTAAAAGAACAGTAAAAATACCTTTGCTCATAGCAATATGCTATTCATTTAGTTGCCTGGAGAGTATCACTCATGAGTCCTTTAAGTACTGTCACAACAAATCATTGGAAACTGATGAATACACAATCCAGGATCCCAAACAACAAACTATTACAAACTATCTATGTGTGAAAAGACTGCTGGAAATTCCTCTAAGCCTCTGTAAATAGCTTTGAGTGAGGCTGGTTGAGGGCCAGATGCCCACCAAAGGCAAATCCCGATTTTTAACTTGACTATAGCTGTGCATTTTATACCCAGTAAAGGCTTTCCCTTCTGAAAATGTGAGACCCCAGTTTTTCTTTCTTCAGTCAGGAAACTAAGACAATAACGCCTCTTGGTCCAGCCAGCCTATGTGCAAAGGTATAGGGTAATTATGATGTGGACTTTTAAAACCTGGATAAAATTTAGTAGCTATTCCTAGACAGCTGGTATGAAAGCAAAGCATGAAAATGAAAAGGTAATCTAAATTGGCCAGGGCAATATGATCTCACCACAAAGTTTACATTTAAACTTTATGTTCCTCTACAGAGGCTTATACTTTATGCAGAGTATCTCCAAGAGCATCACAACAGCAGAAGAGCCAATACAGTTACATGTGTATTACAAACACATGGCACTTGCCTGGCTTTCTCCAGCTGGAGATACATCCTGAGGCATGTGTGGGGGAAAAAGAAGATATTTGAAAGCTTAAAAAGGTATATTTTCACATGGATTTAGGTTTTTCAGAATGTGCTCCGTTTTTCCTGCGCCGTGCCAAAATACCTCATCTGTAAACTGAGCACTTAAATTGTTTCATTTACATGTAATCACTAATTGGACTATTGAGTGGAAGGGATATTCAGGTTAAGAGCAAACAAACCAACCAACCTGATCTTTAAGTATTCTGTTATCTTAACCACTTTTGGAATGCTGATGAATTAGTGAATCGGGGTGTCAGGACCATTGCAATCCAAATAAATGTACTCAAGTTGCTAGAGAGAAATGATGGGGGGAAGGATGCTGTGTTCCAGGGATGTGTCTGGCCCTGGGAAACTGATTAATGCTTCTGGTCATTAAAAATACTTTAGGCAAATAGATAGGCACAGGTGAGGGATTGCTTTCAAGATGAAGGCATGTGGCTGAATAATGATAACCTTACTCTCACAATGGGGCTCAACATAACAAATGGAGCAGAGCTACTCATTTGAGGAATTTAAGCAAAACGTGACCCTTTAAAAGCACTTTCCATGCACAGAAATTCAATGGTTACATTTGGAGACTTTAAGGCACAGTGACTCAACACATTGTGCTAAAAAAATTGAGAACAGCAGTTTTTTTCCTCTGCAAGATATTTCCTTATTGGAATTTGGATTGTCCCCCCACCGAACGCATCAGAATAGACCACAGCTTTCTTTAAGTGTCTGACTGGCTTCCTTTATATGCTGGAAATTGCATGAGTACAATGAAATCCCTCTCTCTTATTTTGTATATATTCTTCTTCTTTCTAACTAAACCCCAGAAATACAAACCTGGGGGTATTTTTAGGGAAATCTCAGGATTCTGAAAATATGCAGAGCATTTGAACTAACAGCAGAGTACCTCAGACCGAGGGTCTTCTTGATTTCCTTCCCTTCTTTTTTTTTCCTTCTCATCTGAAACAAACTGATTATCAAAGCTCAGTCAGTGAGCCTAATGCTTTGCAGTGTGTGAGACACTAAACTCAACAGACATGCTGTTCAGTTAGCTGTGAACATCACATCTTTCTTTCCAGGAATAAAGGTTCCAAATGTCAATAGCAGTTTTAGCCATGTTTGGTAGGCAATGTCTGAGATGGTGCTTTCTCAGACCCTAGCTGTAAATGAGGATTACTAAGAAGTTTTATGCATTTTGTTATAAACTGAGACCAACTGTGAAGTGGCACTGACATGTACCAGCAAAAACCCGACAAAAATCAAATACTTTTCTATGCCAATTGTGCACAAAGAGTTGGATCTAAGCGTTATTATAGCAGAGCCTTTCATGTTGCTATAGCCGTGGTTGTGTTTGCATTTCCATAATAAAACCTATTTTCAGGGGGTTTATAACTCGGCTGTAAGAAATTTACTCTGCGCTCCAACTTGGCATAACAAGGTATCAGCCAGAGAGCTTTTACGTTCCCTCTCTGCTGTAGGAAGAAAGGGTTTGTTTGCTTGCTTGTAGGTGTTTGCTCAAATTCATTCTGGAAAGCCAACACGAGCATGTGTAGGACCAGAGGCTAGTCCCAAATCTCGATCTGTCTGAAGAAGTCCTGGTGAAAAGTAATGAGGGGAACGTTACTTAGAGCTGGGTACCAGGAGATGCGGGAGTGAGGCATTTTTACTAAGAGCCAGCCCCATGTTCACTCTGCTGTTCAGTCCTTCATGTGTTAGGTGATAAATCGCTTGCAGCAACACAAAAAATGCACAGTTTGCAGGTCTAGTGGTTTTTTTGGGGGGGGAAAGTAGAGAAATCAAGCAGGAAAAACTGAAGAAATTAGTTTCACAGAGAGCTGACAGTGGGGGGAGCAGCCTGGTTTCTTATAAAACAGAGTTTCAGTCTGTAAACCCAGTTCTGCTGCATTGTGCTCTCTGAGCACAGGGACCACAGGGAAATACAGCTGCTGTGCAAGTGTGTGGTGGGAGACGGAGAAGGGATTTTTTAGCTTCTTTTCAGACAGCTGGAGCGTGAGAAGTTGGAGAATGGATGCATTAAACTAGAGCCTGTGCTTAGTGCAAGCCACTGCAGAGGTTGGTATGGCAGGTAATGGGCTCCAAGGGACCCTCTGCTTAGCAGCTGTGCTGTGTTTCCCACTGGAGCTCTTCCAAGACAAATGGCTTTTTTCTTGGGGGACTGTAGGTAAGACTAGGAGTCAGGAAGTAATAAAATCTCATTATTGCTATTTATTGTTAGTAAACATTTACACAATGGTAATATCTGTTGGTGCCAGCCAGGTACTGGCTGTTTCTCCATCACGCTCTGTCTCAGCTGAGCCCTCAATGACCCAACATCAAGCCCATGCAGCCTTTGGAAGACTGGA